ATCGAAAGAGACAGTAAACAATCAATTCCTGTCCATCCTCTTCAACAGCACTCTGAATTAACACCATGTTATTATCTGCTTATTACACTTGGTACCTAGAGACCTCTTTGTACAGGGCAGTGTATAAAGATAAGGCTGAATAATAGTTGTTTTGCTGCACTGCTTCCAGTCCAAGCAGAGGAGGCAGGCAAAGGGCAGGGGCCAAGTGTGAGAGAGCAGTGTGAGCAGACCATTCTTATCGCTGGCCTCTTTCTAAAGTTACCTTTTTCTTTTGCAGGCAGCCCAGCTGGAAATTGTGGTGGTGACTCTCAAGCGATTTTCCTCTTGCTTCTCCTGAAGGAAAAGTGGGTCCTGAGCAGGATGCAGCAGCCAGCGGCTGGTGACAGAGGCACAGCCGTTCCCTTGCTGTATCCATCCCAGACCAGCCTCGCTGCTGACCTGTACCATACGCACCGCGTCATTGAGGACCCCGAGTGGTCCCTCGCCACTGTCCCCCACCTCACTGAGCTCTGCCTCCAGCACATCATTCACAATTTTGAAAGTAAGTCAGTGGGAGCAGGATTCCCCTGGGACACATGGAGAGTGAGCGTCAGTCCCAGGGAGCAGAGGGTCAGCGAGGCAGGCAGATGCATCTGAAAGGCTGAGTGTGGTACCCAGTCCAGCCAAAGGAACAGATGGGGAGAAATATCCCCTCAGGCCGCCAGTTAAACACACTGTTTAGTTGCTAAGTACATACTTGTACACTCCAGGGCTGGCTGTAGTCCTCCAGGCTGCTGTCCAGGATGAGACTCTGCCCTAACCTTGTCCTATCATTTCTTCTGCCTTCTGGACTCACTTACCTCAACCGTGGCCAGGGCTGTGGAGTTGCTGTTTCCTTCTCTTGATTCATGCACGTGTTACAGTAGCATTCGAGGATGGAGCCCCATTGTGCTGAGTGCTGTACAAAGAGATGGAGAATTGCTCCCCACTCGGAGGAGCTACCGTCTCAGAATACATATTGTGTTCACAGTCTCAGGCCTTCTCCATGGCTTTTGGTGGTGATGTGACAAGTTATATCCTCAGGCAGGGAATGTGCTTTTGAAGCAGGTAGTCTGATGAAACATAGCAAAACAGAAAAAGCATGTCTCATCTGGGAAATGACTTGGAGGGGGAAAGGAAGGGCCTACCTGTCCTTTTGGCTGACTCAGTGAAGTGGCAGCAAAGACCAAAGATAGGTCTAAGGCTATGTCCACACCGGGACTGTAAGACAGTACAGAGGAGCTCAGTGCTGCCTTACGCCAGGAGCTGATGGTACTTGGGGGTCTGAGCTGGGACACCCTTGCAGTCCTATCAGACTGGTCAGTCAGTCCAATGCCAAATGGATTGGACCTACGTTGTGTGCACATAAAAGCAGTGTGCTCAGTGTCTTGGGGACCCTCATGCCATTACCTCAGTTGTGCGGCTGCATCTTGCCCGCTGCTGTGGCCTGAGTGAGCCCAAGCGAAGCTAGCCCCGTTCTGCCCATACATGTCCCACCTCTGCCTGTGTCGTGGGACTTTGCAGCGAAGGTCACTGCAGCGCCAGCTGTAGGAGACTGCAGAATAGACTCCAGGGAGGGGCTGTGGTAAAACTCTGGGTGTCCTTAGGAAGGAAATGCTGCAGAGACAAAGGAAATATAAAGCTAACCCCACTTTGTGTCTCAAAATCTGATTTCCCATGTGCAGATAGGCCTCTCCACTGGTGATTTCTGTTACTCAACAGTACTGTGTACATGGCACCAAGCATTCATGGTGTGAGCACGTACGGCTGGTCTCTGGCATTTCTTACCACTAAGAACTTCCACCAGACAGAAGCCAGCTGAGACTTAGGGCAAGCATCGGGAAAGAGACTCAGGGGACAAAGCTCCTGGGAAAAGAGAACTTTTATTTAAACAAGGTGGACCTAAAGGCTAAGAGTGTGTCTCAGTGGAAAGGAATAGGAATCAATTTGGGGTAAGACAGACACCTGAGTTAAGATAAAAAGGGATGAGGACTTGTACAAAGAGCACACAGACAGTTGTTCTCAAATATCGTCCTTCAATATGCTTAGAAACCAAAGGGAGAAAGTTCAGCAAATGACAAGCCAAGCTCTCCCATCGCTGTAAGGCTGAATTAGCTCTCTTGGGAGCAGAAGTCCTGCTCTGAATATAAACTGCGTTCAAACTAAATTTAAACCGGGAGCTAAGTTTCTGATGCAGTTCCCAAATATTATGGGAGTAAACCCAATTACGCTGATGTTTTATTGTAAAAGTTAGAAATCCTACACAGAAATGTAGGAGATGAATCCTACACATTTTCTGCCAGCTTAGTTCCCTGCACCAGCCGCTGGCAACTGAGGAGAGAGCAGAGGGGAGGGCATGGGCACACAGCTGGGGGTCCGGGCAGAACCATAGTGCCAGCCATGGTTCCTGCAGCCCAGACCAACCTCTTCTTCTCTTCATCCCCTCCAGAGAACCCTATTTTGGACCATCTTCTGCCTGAGCACCAAAGGAAGGTGCTGGACAGGCTCTCCACTGGCCTTCCACTCGCTGTGACTGCCAACCTAATAAGCGATGAGGACTACTGGAAGAGGTGCTGCACTGAGCGCTGGCCAGTGTGTGACATCTCCAACTATGGAGACAGCTGGAAACGGATGTTCTTTGAACGTCACCTGGAGAACATCCTGAAATGTTTCATCCCTAACACCACAGACCCCAACCAGGTCCTAGAGCTCATCCCGCTCTGCAAAGACTATGTGCGGAAACTGGAGGTTGATCAGTTCCTGCCACCAGTGCAGGTGGATCAAAAGGAGGAGAGGGATGACCTCTCTGATACAGGGAGTGATTTTGGATTCGGCGAGGTGTCCGTGAATCACTACAACCTGGGAGTCCTCATTACTGCTCTCCCTCACCTTGAAGAGCTTCATCTCACTTATGGCGTGAAGGACTGTGGCATGAACTTCGAGTGGAACCTCTTTAACTTCACCCACCAGGACTGCCGCAACCTGGCTGTCGCCGTGAAGATGTGCCACAACTTGAAAGTAACATATCCCAAACTGAACCTTCCTTCCTCAGCTAGATCTTCAAATTGCCCGGGGATAGAAACCCCGGGACCAGTTTTGCTTGTTGGCAGCACCCTTCCTTTTGCAAGCTGCAGTCTGGCAGAGTGCAGAGATGTTAACTTGCTGGCCTAGTGCTGAGTATCTTGTTCAGCATATGTCCTTGTTAGAACAGGTTGTCAGAGGATCAGTGAGAAAAATACTTGCTCCCACAAAACATGTTCCCTATAGCGCAAGAGAAAGCAATGCTCCTGTTTTAACTCCTCACATAGTTCTGGGAGGGAGGAGAAGCCAAGAGAGTTTTTCATAAGGAGTTTTTGGTAGTTATCCTCAGTAAATACATGCCAACATGCCCCAGAGGAGCAGAGACCCCCAAGAAGAGCATGGGGAAATACTTACATTTGCATTAGAGTGATGAGGGGTGTTCCTTCTGGGCACTAACACCATCTTCAGCTCTCTGGCAACTGCACTGCAGATACTCAGCCCCTCCAAAACCTCAGCAGGCATTGCTATCCACAGTGCAGCCAGAGTGAACTGGCTGAACACTCTCCCCACAGATTGGCATGCTTTGGGAAATATTTGCTTGGCTTCCAGAAGAGAAATTACCTCTCCTGTGACTATTAAGGTGCCCTGGCCACGCAGGACATATTGCCTTTCACAGAGAGCACTGTGGTCACCACCCGTGCACATGCTCATTCAGTGTTCAACTGTGATCTGGGGTGAGTTCTGCTGTTGCTCTCTGCAAATATTTGGGCAGCTTTATCTCATTTTAATTTAGCCCCCTGTGTCAGAGATGCTGTGGAGTCAGAGGAAAGGAAGAGGCATTTCCAGGAGATGAACCATTTCTCCCTAGAACAGGCGTGGGACATCAGTGGCGTGCCCTGCCTGCTGGAAGTATCTGCCCACTATAAAAGCGACTACTTGGGCCTACTGGCTGAAGGTGTCTGAAGTGAAGGGAGATGAATCCTGTCTGGTGGACCATAGGCTTAACTCCCTTGAGGTCTTGTACAAAGCTCAATCTGAAGTGCTGGCTGTTTTAGTGTCCCTGTCCTTTATCCCTACAGGTTTTCAAGCTGACGCGAAGCAAAGTGGATGATGACAAGACCAGGCTGCTGGTCCGTAACTTGCTGGATCACCCCTGCTTGGTGGAGCTGAACTTGTCCCACAATCTCATCAGGGACAAGGGGGCACAAGCCATTGGCAAGTTGATCAACCGCAGCAGATTAAAAACCCTCAATTTGTGTAACAACCAGATTCATCACCTGGGGGCTCAGGCTCTTGCTGGAGCCCTGGCTGAGAACTCCACCCTGACCTCCCTCAATCTGCGCCTCAACTGCGTGGAGGACAAAGGCGGGGAGGCGATCGGCCATGCCCTGCTGACCAACACCACCCTGAAGTTCATCCACCTGGGAAGTAATAACCTGTCAGAGCCAACCGCTAGGCTTTTCTCCCAGGTCCTGGCTCAGAACACCACCCTGACGAGTATCAACTTCTCATGCAACCACCTGGGGCCGGTAAGAGAAACCCCTTCTCCCTGCAGTTTGTGAGCCTACGCGGTGGCCTTGCAAAGCAGATGCTGAGCCTGCCCTGCCACGAAGCCACAGAGGCAAATGCATCCCTCACTTTGCGATCTTGCTGCGATAACAATCAGTTGCGAGCAGGGAGGAGACTCTAGCAGACGGCAGGAAGGAGAAGGACATCTTCTGTGCATGCACATGCATTTATCTCACTTGTTACATCTAGCTCTGTTCACAGGGCTGAATCTGGCTTCCAGGCTTTAGGTTTTTGGGCAGAAAGGGATTTTTCCCCCAGGAAACAGAAAAACAGGGAGTATGTCTGGGAAAAATCACAGCCACTTCACACATGTGGGAGTAGATAATAATGATAGGCGGCATGAGACAAGGGCCTTATGCATTTTTTGGATCTGCTGTGCCATCTGTCACTCAGCAGCTCACAGATAGTGCCACCCTTCCCAGAATTGCTCCTGTCCGTCACACAGTCAGAGGAGACTGCTAGAAAATTGGCTCAGTTGTTGAGCTCCTTTAACTCACCCCACAGCTCTGGAGCGGTGCGGTTGGTCGTAAGTGTCACATCTGGGTGCTTGTAAATGGCTTCTAAACCACAGACTTTTACATTTTCTAGGCAGAGGAGCATCCACAGATCTTAGTACATCCCTAAGAGCTGCAGTATGCAACATGCCCACAAACCAGACCGCTTCTCTTCTGCTGATTAAAAAGAGCTTTAGAAATCTGAAACCAGACAGCCAAATGCAATCATGCTGGCTTTTAAACTTTCTGCACTGCCTCAATTTTTCTCACTGTCACAATAAAGAGACAGCAAGACCAGCTGTCCCTGCTGGCAGGAATATTGGCATCAATGTGTTTGACAACGGTTTTAAAAGGATTTGATGGCAGAAAACCTTTTGTGAGTTCTGAGTTTTATGATCCTGGACATGGAAAACCATTTGAGTTTAATGATACAAGGGGGCAAAGGTTGACAAGGATAGAAGGATTTTTGCTTAGTAAATAATAATTTCTGTGCTTGGCATCTTCCTTCTGATGAGCTCTCCCATTACCCATTTGTGAAGCTCCACAGCAGCCCACCAAGTGGGCTGGTGGTATTACTTTTGGGGAAATGGGGGTATTTTTGCTAGCGATGCATCAAATTCTGACCTCTCTACCCCATTAAAAAGAGCTCCTTCCTGGTCCTTTTTGCTCTGTCCTTTTTGGCAAAAGGTCTAAGAGGCAGGGTGCTGGGATGAGGGGACCGCCTGGATGGAGGAGATGAGGGCAGGAGGTGTATTTGGTACCTGAAAGAAAATAGCTGTGGGGGGAAAAAAAAGAGTCAAATTGTCACATCCCTAAAGACAGTGCTTCAGGTAAGGGAGGGAAATGCCCCGAAGTGAGTTGCCTCCCTAAGGCTATCTACATTGCATTTTCTGTCCCATACAGGCTGGACTTCAGTTGCATGGGATGTTCTCCCCAGGAGAGCCAGCCCAGCCAGGGAAATGGCATCCAGGCAGGAGACTGCCAGCACTGGGGCTCTCGCCAGCGCCGAGGCGCAGCGCACTAATGACACCGCCATTTGTCCCCAGCCAGCGGTGAGCTGGGGACCAGGGGACAGGGGAGAGCAGAGATTCCTCTCAGGTTATCATCGCCAGCTGTGCTATTAACCAGCCTGAGCTTGAGGACTCCTGACATGGTACCCAGAGGGAGTCATTAGCATGTGTCATATCACTGAGTGCTGCATAAGGTTACTTTCCTTCCCTGTGTACTTCTCCTGTGAGCAACATTTCAGGCTTGGGTGAAGGCCTTCGCCCCTTTTGGCACCATCTCATGGGGTCCTCATCACCAGCAGCAGAAGTTGCCCTGGGGAGGAGGGAAAGGGAGCAATACGCTTCACTTTTGGATCTCTTCCTTTAACCCCCACTTCTCACCCATTTGCAGGATGGTGGGCAGCAGCTGCTTGACGGGCTGGTGGATAACAAGACTTTGACCGAGTTCGACCTCCGCCTGGCAGAGGTGGGCGACGAGACTGAGTACCTCATTCACCAAATTGTGTGGGCCAACCGGGAAGCGGCGAGACAGGGGTCTCTGCAGCACCCCCCCACCAAACCCCTCTGAAGAAAACGCTCATGAGAGCAATGAGCTTTGCAGGTGCCGTGTTGGAGATACTTTACTTCCGAGGCTTGTTTTTATTCGCACTTCTGAGAAACACTCACCCTGTGGCCGCCACCACAGCCTTTTCCAGATCCCCATCATCCAACCTGTGTCTTAACGCGAGACAGACATTAGAGCTCATGGGACTGTAGTGGCATCACAGAAGCAATCTGCCTCTTGAGCCCTCTCTCCCACTGCACCCGAGACTAAATCTCACCTCCTGTGGTGTTTCTTACATGCTCCAGCAGCAAGCTTAGTTCAGGCAACTGGATGGTGTTCCACCTGTAAAGCAGCTAAGGTGAAGCCTCCACCATCTACATGGTCTAGTCCAGACCTAACCTTCAGGGCAGGCAGCTCTTTTAGGTTTTTTGCTGAGGAGGACGTGAGATATGTAGGGGATAGAGGGAATGTTGTTTCTAGTTTCTTGGCAGCTTTTTCTGGCTATTGCTCTGCTCGAGGATTTATATGTTTTTATAGCAAAATCTGTCTGGAGTCTCAGATATGGGTGGTGAAAAGTAAAAAAAAATAAATTCAAGAAATGATAGGTCTCTCCACCATGGTTTCCTGCTTTGGGTCGCTATGCCTTTGATCAGCGCTAGCCTGCTTTGCAAACAGGTGAATTCTTTACAAACAGATGCTTACCTTAACTAATAGTGCTCTTCTGTGCAAACCTGTCCAAACAAACCTGTGTTTCGCATCACTTCAAGCTAGGGGGGTCCCTGCAGGACTGCTGGCCCACACAGCCCACAGGGTTGAAAACAGAGCAGCTTCCTTGGGCTGGGAGGAAAACGGAGTAGCTTCCTTCTGCCCCCCGGGCTGTGGCCACCTGAGGACAGGACAGGGCACGTACCTGATTGCCTCAGTCCTTCAACCGCCCCACTCAGGAGAAGTCAGCAGGGAATTAAGCAAGCAGGCTGACCTCCATCCCCTCCCGCCCTCTGAGCGATGCAGGGGCTTCACATGTCTCCCAGCCCTGCCCGGCACCAGCGCTCACAGATCCACCACTGCCAGCCACCTCAGTGAATCATCTGAAACTTTTATTACACCGATTTGGTTTACAATCTTTGTACTTTGATATTTCCAACAAAAAAGGCAACATTGTGATATACTGGTTGTACATATAGAGAGAGACAGACAGAGCTAGATCATATTGACAGAGTTGAAAAGTAAAAACTGTTTCCCAGTGTTCACAAAAGAATTTGTTCGCCACATACCCGCTTCTGCCTTGCTCTGCCTGATGGACAGAGACACCCGCAGTGCCGCCGGCCCCCGGCCACCGGCACCTTTACCTGCACCATGTCACGCCCTTATAGATCAGAAAGGATGGAGTGCGAGGCTGTCCCTGGCGGCGGTGGCCACACGAGGGGTGCCGACAGGGCTCAGCCCCGAGCCCTCGTAGGCTGTGTAGCTCCCTTCCCAACTATTTACGGATGCTCCAGGGGCTACATCCACAAGAAAACTTAACCAGCGGCAGCAGCTGTGAAACCTCCCCACCCGGGCGTCTCCCACTACTTGCTTCCCATCCTCGAGACCGAGGTATTGAATAGATTTATTTCTTTTTATTTGCATTTACAAAATATTTCCACTGAATGACACACCTGAATGAGATGAGAACTCGTGTTCAGAAACAGCAGAAAAGACCCAGTTCAGCATCAGGCTGATGAAGGAACAGCTCCAGCAGCAAGGGTGGGGTGGGGGCTTAATGGGGGTGGCCTTGTCCTGGGCAAGCCTGCCTGTAGCTCCAAGTACAGGGCTGCATCTGGTCAGCCAGTTGTGCAATGAAAGCTCATGCTGGGAGGGCAGCAATGAGATCCCTCAGACATGCTAGCAGACACGTGAGGAGGAATTGGCCGGCAGAGCCAGTGAGGAACAGGGATGGAAAAAAAAGGGCTTGGGAAAACGTATCATCACCAGAACAACTGTTGACTTGCTTTCCAGGATACTCCTCTTCCTGCAAATGGCCGAGACTGTTAACACCACCTGAGCACCCTCCAAACCCACTCCTGGGCTGCCACACGCAGGAACACCTAGACAGGTAGCTGCTGCCTGAAGAACCCTTTGCCTTCCTTCCCATCAATCTCTTGGACAAAGAACAAAGCCCAAACCAAGGAGCCTGCACCACTTGCCAACACCCAAGACCAACAGTCCACTATCTGCCAGTTTGCAAGGGCTGAAACCATTTCAAACGCCATATACGTTGGTAAAAATGAAAGCCCCGACAGCAACAACAGATTTGTCTGAGTGCAACCCTCCTGTTGTTGGTGGGTCACTTGTCAGCTTCAGGTCTGGCTACCGTGGTGTGGGACTGCCTTGCAGAGCAGTAAGTAGCAGGTCACTGTGCTGGGAAGGGGACGTGCCAGCGTGGGGCCAGTACAGACCCCTTGGCTCTCCCATGAGATCCATCCCCAAGGAGTACTGTGGGGCTTTCAGGAGGGGGGTCAGCTGTGGGCCTCCATCTGGAGGAGGGAATGACCTCTGGTGCCTTGCCTGGGAGCTGGTATTCCCTCCCGCCACCATCCATCGACACAGCGTGAGCGGCACTCAGCAGCAGAGGGACTCCAGCCAAGCTGGGCGCATCCCCCCGCCCATCGGTCTGTGCCAGAGAGATGGGGGAGGCCGGGAAGTAAAGGAAGGGGAATGACACAAGGGCTTGCACTTAAACTACGCCAGCGAGTGCCCCATCGGGCCGGAGCAGGGTCGCCCGGCTGGCTCCCTCCCGCAGCAGATGGTGAGCCCTGCTTCCGCTGCTCTGAGCACAGCGCGCGCGGCGGCAGGAGCCGGTGGCCGGCTTCCCAAGCCTGGCGGCTTCTGCTCGCAGCAACACAGGCATCGATTTGCAAGGTGTCACGCTGGCATATGTCGTAAACAGGACGGCAGGTTGATTTCGAGCACCGACTGGGGGTGGTGGAGCAGGCTGCCGTGGGGATGGGCAGAGGCTGTGCATGGAAATGGTTGCTGCATTCAGCCTCCCTTTGCTCCCACGGAGCCAGATTTGTCCACACTGAGCTTCTGTCCCTGCCTGTCGGGTACCTGCTGGCCGTCTGCACAGCCAGCCGAGGTGCTGGTGGCTGGGGTTCAACAGCAGGGGGGGAAATGGGGAGGCCTGTGCGCTGCCCCCAGGACAGCATGGTAGAGCTGTCTCCGGACTGGGTGAGGGCTTGGGCTGGGGCAGGCTCGGAGCATTTCCAGGTCGCCTCTTATAGGCACAAACTATGAAACTGAATTGGGGAGTAAATGGCTCATTTGTAAAACACGGTGCCAAGCACTACTGGCCTGAAACACGCAGGGTGCAGGCCTTGGCCCTGCACCCCAGACAACTGATGCAAGCTCTCCTGATCGCCGGGGACCCACTGCTTTACCCTGTCAGCACCTACACCACGCATGCCCTGTGTACAGCACCCTCCCTCCAAACACTCTCACCAGCTAGCCCCGGCTGTGCCCACACACCGCCCTGCTGACAGGGCACTTCTGGCTAACCTAGACCCTCTCCTGCTTCTTCCCTCGGTCGCAGTGAAGAGGGATGAAGCCTGAGCTCATGCAGCTGGGAAGCTGGGGAGCAGTGCGGAGCCAAGCCCTGCATCAGCTTCCCTAGGCAGAGGGGATGGCTCAGAAATGAAGCGTTCCTCCTCCCTACAGGCTATGCCTGAAATAGCTGAGCCTGTCAGATCCCCGTCCCCGGCCATGATGGATTAGCCTCTCCAAGGCACAAGGCAATTTATTCATTAGTGACATTTACACCTTGTGGCTGCATTAGCCATTGCGGTTTGGTGACACGTGCTCGAGCTGTCAGTGCTGGGCTTGGAGGCAACATCACTGCTCTGACAACGCAGCGAGGCTCGGCCTGGGCACCTCAGCTTGGAAATACCTCCTGCCTGTCTCCTCGGCGAGAGCGGGCACAGCCTGCTTTGAAAGCCCGCTTTGTTCCCAGGCTTCTCCATCAAATGCCCCACGCCCTCTCTTTCCTGCCCACCCTCCCGGCCTCACAGCACCACGGCTCCAGCACGGCAGCCTTCTGCCCTGTCTCGCCTCGTGTCTCCTGCAAAAGCCACCGCATCTGTGAAGCCTTTTATAGCTGTTCTCGTACAGCCCCTCCTCTCCACATGTCCTGCTGAGCATTTACACACTATTCTGCCCTCCTCAGCTACCTCCACCATCAGCTGCGCCTTGTTCAGCCCACAGCAAAGCTGCCCTCGGTCCCAGCGGAGAAGCACAGAGCCCGTGTTTGGAGACTCCTCCAGCAGACACGCTGCTTTCACCACGACACTGTCCCCTGGTCCCATACCACCACAAGAGCCGACCTGCCTCTCCTCCCCAGGGACAGCACTGGGGCACTGGAGATCAGGACCACCAAAATGTCAAGGGCTTCTGTTTTCTAACTTTGGTCTGTCGAACTTACCCTGTCTACAAAGGCTCAGAGAAGTGCTGTGAAATTCTCTGGGAAAGCATAAAGTGATGCAGAAGTGAGGCCAGGATGTGCTGCAGTGCTCTGCAGGCTGTGCTGTCTCTCCGCCGAGCGAGGCGGAGGCACGCCAGGGCAGGGAGCACTGCTGGAAGGCTGCGCGCAGGCAAACCAGCAGGTTGTGGTGAGGTCTGGCCACCAGCGCGCCTGAGGTCATCGCGCGTCTGCTGGCGTTTCGCAGCCAGCCCACGGCGCCTAGCAAGGAGAGGACCGAAATGATGCGAATGTGCGGCCTCAGAGGAGTTCAGGGGAGGAGGGTGCTTCAGCTAGCTCAGGGGAATGACAGTTTGCACATCGGGTTTGAGGAGGGTGAGAAGAGCTGGAGAGTGTTGGTCAGGGAGCAGATCCAGCAGCTCTCCCGTTTCAGGCAGCCAGCAAGGGATGAACTTGTTCTCAAACACAGCTTGCTCCATGCTTTTATCCCTGCTCCCTGCCACTCGCTGCAGCAAATGTGACACTTCACACCATCTCCTCACAAAAACCAGGTCAGGAGTTTCCTCTCAGG